GACTCTATTAAGCCTATCACATAACTTCACCAGAAAACTTCTATTAATAATTTTTTCTCTGATGCTTTTATAACCATCTTCACAGTCTCTGAAGGAGGAAGTGTCACATAAACCCCTTGTTTTCCAAAGAAAGCATTTTTTTTTCCTTTTTGTCTTTTTTACTGACCGGTAACGGGATCGCAACCCTTGGTGTTGCGCCCGTACCGGGGACTGGCAACGGGATCGCAACCCTCGGTGTTGCGCCTGCACCGCGCTCAGCCAGTGAGCGGGAACCGGTCTCCACATGGGATCCGAACCCTCGGCGGGAGCGCCGCCACGCTCTCAAGCAGCACACTCTCCAGTGCGCCACTGGGCCGGCCCTATATCCCTATTTTACAAAATAAGATGACACACAAAATTTAATGACTTGACCAAAGTCACAGAACTAATATGTAACATTTATATACTTTACCACTTCTTGACTGTCTAATAGAACTTTCAGAAATATGAAGATTAGGTACAATTCACGCATTAAGGAATCTTTTAGGGGACATATAACACTTGATGAAATTCTTGAAAATAATCAATATTCTGATATTTGTAGTGAAATCATTTTAACTTCAGGAAGAAAAGAATTAATACATTAGCTATGAGGAACCAGAACTCATCTCATATGTCAAACAATGTTTTTTAGACACTGAAACTGACAAATTAAGAAATGTTTCATTTGTGGCCATTTGTAATAGGCATTCCATAATGGAAGTAATCTTATACTTGATCTAGTAGTTATTGGGTTTAGTTCAAAAGATAACTAGAAATTCAGTTAAAATTCAGTTACATATTTAAACCAGATATAAATATTGTGATCATATGTATTACTCAATACTCAGAGCATTTGAAGTATTTAAGTGACAAAGTAGAAAGAAATCTTAGAATCCCAAGAAACCATCTTCTTTACGTTTTTTAGATTTAAGATAAGTACAGTCAGTAACATGCTATCTTTAAGTTAAAAAATGCAAAATGTTCTATAAGTGTTATTCATCTACCATAATTTTGTAATTTATATCTTATATTACAAAACAGCAATAAACTGGAGAGTACAAGTCAATGTTTACTATATAACGAACAAAAGTTACCTCTCTTTCTCAAGTTCTTCTAAATATCCACTACTTTCTCTGCTTCCATTTGCAAACCCTCTTCTCGGAAATGAGCCCATAGGAACAGGACTGCACTCTCCTGAACGACTTGATACAGATCCTTCTCGGCTTCCATAAGAACGGAGGGACATTTTTGATCGTAGTTTCACTCCAGGGAAATTACTATCTAAGTTAAGTTCTAAATAAAACAGAGATAAATTTTTATGTAACAATTGCTTTAAGTGGTCTAAAATATTCCTGATGCTATATATTATTTTAAAAGTGAAATCTTAAGTTCACATTTTAGCCACAAATATACATGACTGAATAAATAATTATTTTAGAACCAGAATAGCTAAACTTTCCCTTCAAAGTCAGTTTAGGTCAGGGGGAAAATAAGGGGTGTGTTAAAGGAAAATTAGATAAAATGTCCTTCTTTAGATTTCCTCTAGATAATATTTTAGAGCCTGAAAGCAATTTCTCTACCTCACTTCAAGTATTATTAAGGACTTTCCCTGTTTTGACATTGGAATTTTCAAGCATGAAAATGAGAAAGACATTCTTTTAAAATTCTGCTAAAATGGCTTATAATCAGCTTATATACATGAGAAAATAAAGCATTTCTATGCTGGATGGAAGAGAAAAAGACAATACTTCTTAAAATGAGACAGTGGGCTCAGTCTGTGGCATACAGCATATGAAGTCCTATTTAGTGATTGGCAGAAGAGAAATGAGTGTTAAAAAGAGCTGAAAATTATCAAGAAAGAGATCTACAATAGTTTATTCAAAGGCAGTTAAATGTTTAACTGAAGAAATTGAAAAAAAAATAGATTTTTTTATATATGTGTACTTTAACAACTACATCCTAATGGGTAAGGCTAATATACCAAAACAGATATGAACATCCAAACCAAGAGAAGCTGTATTTGGATCTACTAAAGTTGATAATTTCAACTTAAAAATTAATTTAAAACATCTTTTTAAAATCTACCTTTAAGACGCTCTAATAAATCAATTTGTCCAGAAGAAGCCATAGCTTCATCTTCAATACTTCCTTGTAGTTGTTTAAGTACTTCCTATAAAAAAAAAAAAAAAAAGAAAACCCGCAATATATTAAAATGAACTCCTAAATAACTTCTTGAAGACATGATTCTGTGTCACTTGGCATTTATGCATGCTGAGGAAAAAAGCTCTTTCAGATCACTCTGAAAACATGTTATAAGTTGTTGAGCACTTTAGACATATCACTTATTATTTGTTACAAATAATAAATCATACCCTAACAACAATAATAGTGATATTTTGTGAATAATGGTGGTATGGGGAGTCTCCATGCAAGACACTATATGGCATACTTAAGACACATTTATTATCTCTAATTTTTAAATAATACAACAAGGTAAATTATTTCCATTTTTCAGATAAACAAACTGAGACCCAGAGACTTGCCCAAGCCATAAAAACTAGTTATGCGTTTAGATTCTACGTTTCTTAAATTTGCACTAACATGACCACGAAAAATACCAGACAAATTAACACTTTATACTCTGCTGTTTAACAACTTAATATTCATATTTAAGTATATTCCACATTTAAGTATATACTACTAGTATAATGACTTACATGTAGCAGGTATTCAAATGACTGTATGCTCACTGCCTCCCAACTTTTGATGCCATTATTTTCTTCTCCATGTAAATCCTTTCTTGATAAATTTTTTTCAAAGAATATTGGAAACTCATTTTCTACCAGTTTTTCTGCCCTTATATTTGTGAACAGTGGCTTTTAGTACATATTTGTTAATAATAATTTATATTTATATTTTTCATATATGGAGGCATTCCATTCTAGGTCTTAGCACAGTCCTCTGTTTGGCTAATTAGGTTTACCAAATGCAAGACAATGTATTTGAATACTTACAACCTTGTAAATAAGGACAGTGTTCCCCTATATGAAAAGTGATCCACAAATGCATTGAAAAGATCTTGTCAAAAAGTGAGTGAATGCAGCAAAGACAACTTCACTAGTTTACATTGACAGTGACATTGTAAGCATTAAAAATAGAATCCCTATGTTAATAAAAAATAGCCTGTGACCTTAGGATCTGACCTTGAAATAACAGACCATGTTGAAGTCTGAAAGGCCTGGGTAAGTAGATGTGGGAACATGAACGTGACTGGGATTCATGTTCAAGATATTATGTCGAGAGTATATCACATCTGTGGGATAGAAAAGAAATTTGCACAGGGCTACCTCCCTCCAATGAATGTGAAATACACCCAAAATGCCTACTATAAATTTCAGGACACCTTCTCTTCCATAAAGTTTGATCACTGCAGGCTACCTGTGATTTTCCAGGATCCCAATTCTCCTTCCATACACTGCTACTGCTTATAGTCCTTTAATGATCCTTTAATCTTGCCCCTACTTCTTATGATCCCCAGTCTCACAATTCAACTACTACTTCTGTGCAGGTGACTTCCAATTACAGTATATGTCTCTAATCCTGATCTCACTTGTAAACTTCAGACTCACCTTCCCAACTGACTGACAGATGCCTTACATCTGTACCTCACATCTAGGTATGAGTAATGCTTAAACGTCTGTCTTGACCCGCGGGATATTCAACGCAGACCCTGGAGGGGGGAGTGGGAATTGGATGGGACAAGAGACGCGAGAAATGGAGACCAGACAGTATTCTGATCAAGTCTCGTTTATTGGTTTGAAAGTTACAGCTTATATAGGGAAAAAGCAGGCATGCTGCAAAGGGTCTGGAATGTAAAGATATGATAACATCTTGAGGAGAAACAAAGACAGGACATTCAAAGTAAAGGTTGCTGCCCAGAATGTTTATGGTTAAACAGTTTCTGGAGAAGGATAAAAGGTCACTTGCAAATTAACTTGCATAGCCAGGAGCAAGCAGTTTCTGGCACAAGCAGATTGCGAGGCAATGGCCACACAAAGAGGGGAGTGGGGCTGCTCGCTCCCAACATTTGTCCAGAACTGAGTTGAAATTTTGTACCACCAAAACATGTTCTTTGCCTGTATTCTCTCAGTTAAATGGCATTAAGACTTCTCTTTCTACTCCAGCTCAAATCCTTAGCACCTCCTCCTTTACACCCCCAATCAGTTATCAAAATCTGTTGATTCCACCTCTATTATCTCTCTTACAGTCATCTCTTTTGCATTCTTACTGTCATTATCCTGGCATTAACCCTACCTAAACTATTAAAAAAATACCATAAATAGTCCAACACAGAGCTGTGAGAGTAACCCTTTCAAAGCACAGATCTAATTAAATCTCTCTTTGCAAAATTTTTCTGCAAAGCCTACAGTGGTGGTTCTCAAGCTTCAGCATGGACCAGAATAACCTGAAAAGCTTAAAACAGCTGATTCAGTAAGTCTCTAGAGGCTGAGAATCTGCACTTTGAACAAATTCCTAGGTGATGCTGATGCTGAAAACAGAATCACTGAGATGTTAACAGCATTACTCTATGGAGATTGAGATCATAAGCAATTTCTTTTGTTGCTTGTTGTTTTCTAAATTTTAAATATGTATTGCAAAAAATGTTAATTGTTCTTAGAAAAGGTACAATGACTTAAAAATTTTAAAACTACAATAAAAAATTTCCTGACATGTCATTGGACATATACCTAATTGTTCAAAACGAGTGGCATATTAATGGTCTTTAAAAAAACATGTTTAGGGCTGGCCCTTTAGTCAGTTGGCTAGAGCATGGCATTGATAACACCCAGGTCCAGGGTTCGATACCTGTAATGGCCATTCACACACACACAAAAAGACCCAAAAAACCCTCAAAAACATGTTTAAAGAAAGAAAAGTAAATAAAAAAAATTAAGGAACATTCAAAAAAGAAATTAAAAGGCCTTGAAAGCTTGGATATGCAACAATAAGGATTAAATAAACGATGGCGTTAGCCATACAATGGAATACTATGGAACTACAAAAAATATAAAATGTTTAACAACATGTAAAGATGACAATATATTATGTAGGGAAAAAGTATGTTGTAAAATATGATCCCATCAAATGCATGTTTGCATGGGAGGTACAAAGAGAGAAAAATATACACAATATCAAACTTCTACCTCAGGTGATGGAATTATAAATTTTTTTTTAAAATGTGTGATTTATTTTTTAAAAAGTTTCCACACATATTGTTAGAAATCTATTGATAAAAGCTATAAGCATAGAAGCAAATAAAATTACTCAAAATCAAGGTTAAAAAAATGTTTAAAAAGATTTTCAAAGTAGCCACCTTGGAAAGCTACTCACTTATTCCAGTGATGTGTCCCTTAAATTATTTTTGTAAATGCTCTGAGTTATGAACCTCACCAACAAAAACTGGACATGTTAATTTACAGTCATATCTGGTTACTTTGCCTTACTTAAGAGGATATTATCCAGTATGACCTACATTACTCATTAGTCTGCTGATAATAGTTTATGGCTATTCCATAATGAAAATTAACCTCAAGTGATTTTTTTTCTGTTATTTTTTGTTTTATTACATAAATACATATGTAAAGTACACTAACCTTAAGTATCCAATGAATTTTTACGCCCATGTAATCACTGCCCGGGTGAAGATACAGAACATTTTCAGCACCTGGGAGGGTTCCCTTTGAGCTCCTTACCAACCAGTCTTCATTCCCAAAATAGTGGAGGTAGCTACTATTCTGACTTCTTTATCAGAGAAGTTTGGCATGCTCTTGAACTTCATATAAATGGAACCATACGGTATACAGTCTGTTGTATGTCTCATGTTTTTTGTGCAACATAGTATGGGTAAGATTCATCAGTGCTGTTGCATGTATCAATTATTTTTTAATGCTGTGTAGTAGACCACTAAATGAATATACCCCAATTTATTTATCGTTTCTCCTCTTCATGGGGCATTTGGGTTGTTCCAGTTTGGAGGCTATTATGTAGAATGCTACTGTGAACATTCTCACATATATCTCTGAGTGGACATATGCACTAACTTGAGCACATTTCTGGGAGTTCAAATGCTGAGTCACAGGGTTTAACTTTAAAAGAAACTGCTGAAATGGTTTTTACACTCCTACCAGCAATGTCTGAGCATTCCCAATGCACCACATTTGGCATGATGACTCTTTCAATCTTTAGTCATTTGAGTAGGAGTGAGATGGTTTTTGCATTTCCCTGATGACAGATGATGTTGGATGTTGAATCCCTTTTCATGTGCTTATTGGCCATTTATATTCCTTTTTGAATTGTCTTTTCAAGTCTTTGGCTATATTTTAAAAACTGGATTGTCTTTTTATTACGAGTTTATAGGAGTTCTTTATATATTCTGAACTAAGTCCTTTGTAAAATATATGTATTGCAAATATTTTTTCCTAGTCTATGGTTCGCCTTTTCACTTTGTTAATTAAATCTTCTGAAAAACATAGGTTTTTGATTTTGATGAAGTGCATTTTATAAATTTTTTCTTTTATGTTTAGTCCTTTATGTGTCCTAAGAAATCTTGCCTACCCCAAGGCCACAAAGACATTACTCTATGTCTTCTTCTAGAAACATAATGGAGTCTCTTGATGAACAAAAGTTCTTAGTTTTAATAAAGTCCAAGTTATCAATTTTTGTTCCCTTTTATGGTTAGTTAGTGCTTTGGCATTCTGTTTAAGAAATCTTTGCCTACTTCAAGGACATGAAGCTATTCCTATGTTTTCTTCTAGAAGCCACTGTTTTGTCTGTAACATTTAGGTTTTTAATCCATCTTAAATTGATTTTTGCATATGACATGAGATAGGGCTGTGGGTTCTTTTCTTCCATCCAGACATCCAATTGCCCCTGAACCATTTATTGAAAAGACCACCTTTCCCCACTGATGTGCAAGGATGCCTTGGTCATAAATCAGGTGACCAAATATATGTCAATATTTTTCTGAACTCTATTTCTCTGTTAGTCTAGTCTAATTACCACATTGTCTTAATAACCTGACATCAACTTACATTAATTCTCAGCCACCATCTCTCTCCCCTGAGACTTAAATTACATCTTCCTGCATCTATTTGCCTGTATCTCTCATAA